TGCAGCTACTACCGTAAATAAGATAAAAAGTGTGTTATCAATTTTTTTTTCATAATTGTTTACACATACGCTATACTAATTGAAATTAAAAGATTTTTAAAGTCATTTTTAGATGATAACAAAAAAAAAACCTTTACATTTCAGTTGTTTTATTTAATAACTATTTATTATAGTGTCCAGTGTTGCCATAAATTTTTGAGCCGACCGGCTAAATTTATTTCAATTTTATATAACACAGTCCGATATGAAAATTTTTTTCCGAGATATTCTGCCCATTTCTGATATATTTTAGGTCGCTGAATTTCTAAAAATTAAAACTTATGAAAACTATCGGCGAAAAAGGCGTATTTTTTTTTTTTTTGCAAAACGGCTAACAAATCGGCTGCTGGCTAAATTGAATTTTCTCCCGCTGTTTGCTATCGCAACCGGCTAAGTCTAGCCGGAAAACGGGCAACACCATAAGTGTGTAGAGCTAAGAGGCTAAAAAATTTTCGGTGAGTCATTTGTGTGATTTGCAATTTAAAAATTTAGTACTAAGGAGCCCGCTAAAGCTCAGAATGAGAAAGGGCCTTAAATTATTAAACCTTAAGTATAAAACAAATTCCTTTACAGTTCTGTATACGAAATTAGTCTCCTAAAAAGTTAGCAAGTTCCGAAATATGTAGTCCCAAAATTTATGAAGCCCTGAAACGTCCCAAGAAAATCCCTGGGGATCCTGAAAAATATAACACTAGTAATCCCGAATAGTCTATAAAAAGTAAGAAAAGTTCCATAAAAGTTCACGTAGTTCTTAAAAGAATCGCGCATAGGAAAATGCGAAGATTCCCGAGAAACCACGAAAATAATCGCAGGGAAATCGTAAAAAAATGTCGCCGTACATTTTGAGGCCAAATTGTTTTTGTAAAGCAAATTAGAAAATAATTTTTTTTTGCCCCTTTTAACATATTTTCCTATACCTTCGGCTTTTATAGTCACATCTTAAGGTTTGATATATCGATGTTTTCATCTCGAGGAGAACATTTTTTTGTTTCAAATTTCATTGAGCGCAAGGACCGCGTTCTATGTATCAACCAGATCTTAATTTCTATCACACTAGCGTACCATCCTAAAGTAAGTAAATTAAAGCTTTCCAAAAATCATTATAAGTAATTTTGCTAAGGAAGTTTTTTGATTATTTCTGTTGTACTAATTAAACCAGTTTTTTATTGCCGAATGTATGTAGGTGTGACTGAAAAATGTAAATGAAAAGGTTCGGTAAAAAAAAAATTATTTTCGAAATTATCTCGCAAAAATACTTAAGACTCAGGGGGGTAAGGCGACGTTTTTTTTTGTTTGTTGTCAAATATAAAGTTATTTAAGTATGCGCATCACTGGATACATACGTATCATACATACATACATACATATGTATTACAATTTATTTTTTTTTCTGCGAAGTCACTATTGGGGCAAACAAGTTCAACAACTGCTACTACTTTTATACTAAGTAATTACGTAGTTTGATTTTGATTATTTTACAAGAAGCAATCAAGTGCGCAACTAAATTACTACGTATATAATGCATACATATACATACATGTAAAGATGTATTTTTGTAGGAATATATGGAGATGATATGTAGTCGTTTGTATGAGCTCATCTATGTTAAAAAGTATATTAACTTTTTGAACAATACACATATAATTAAGAACAACATTATGTATAAAACTGCGACTTAGGTAATAATAACTTTTCACATATTTAGTCGGTTATTTTTGCGGTTTCCAATAATAATTATTCTTTATACTCAGAAAAGAAATTTAGTAAGTGCATCTTCCGCTCTTAAAAAAAAAAATTCCAAGTATTGTTTACAAATTGTTGCTGTGGTGAACACTTCTATTAAATTTTCATATATAAAATATGTACATACATATGTATGTCCACAATTGCGGCTTTCGCTTCGCATTGCTTGTAATTTCATCATCGCTACTAACTAAATAATTTGCTTCCCTGATATTGTTTACAATCAATTACTGCAATAAACTAGTTTTAAGCTTATTGACGAAGCGTTAAAATATGTATTATAAAATAACTTGTAAAATTAGACTGAAATATTTGTTCTATGCAACTGCGAAGTAAACGTATAAATATTTGCATAAATTTTTCGTTATATCTACATATGATCCAATCGCATAACTACTATAGAATTATAAGCCCAGCGGTGAAAAGCAATGTATGTACGTATGTAACTGGTAGCTTACATTAGGATAGATTCAAAATTTTTTTGCGATGTGGGCGACGTAATAGACATAGACAACAGAGGAATTGCACTGAGTAAAAATCAAGAATATAATTTAATAGTACAAAATTTTCATTTCATCCTTCAGTGGCGCTAAGTTCAAACCAATTAATTTACTGCATTAATAAATACATATGTATTATACTACTGGGTATATTAGTCATGATGCTTTTTTACATAATGTCACATGCTACATGCGTTTTACACCAGTTTAAAATGCAAATATTGGCATCTATTACATATGCACCCGTTTGAATACATAATTAGGTAATAAGGTGTGACCGATTACCTCTGAAGTTAATTGTTTTTAGTTATGTACATATATTTGCCTTTTCACTTTTAGCCAATACCAACTTCTAGGCATTACAAATAGATAGATTTGTACATTAGAGTGGTCCTTAAAAGATTCAACATTCAAATTTTGTTATGGTACACCCTTTTATTTTGCTCTACGCTCAAATAAAGACATCCACGAAAGTTTATAAATTAAAAGAGAAAGAAAAATTAAAAGAATTCAATTTCGTAAAAGAATCGAAGTTTGCACAGTTTATTTTATTTTAGAAAATTCAGCAAAATATCGGATGAGATCTTTAATCATTATATGAAATTTCTCTACAACCCAGAATACTGTGAAAAAATGGTTTGCCTGGTAACCACTGAATATTAGGATGCCGCACAAAAAAAGTTTATAATTTCGCATAAAATTCGGTAAAACTTTATAACTCTCACCAAAATAGCTTTCCCCAGGTCAATGCAATTCGTGACTAGAGTACTTCGAAAATACTTTTAAGTTTTTTTTGTTTATTTTTTAATTTTTAAACCTGTCAACATGTTAGCTGATTGCTTCACTGGAAGATCACGGTGGTAATTTCTTTTAAAACTTCAGCCAAAATATTTCGAAAGAGTAGTAAGATTTGCATTAGCTGGACTGAAAAACCCTCTTAAAATTAAGTTTCTCATGAACAAAATTCCGCAGCGCCAGCTCAAACTGATAAATTGAACACCTTATGATCTTTTAAGTTTATTGCTTCCCGAAAAGAAAAAAAGTCTAATCTAATTGTTATATATGGATGTATGTGTGTTTTTTTATTTTTCTAAGTTCAACGAGAAAAGAAATTTTCAATATAAAAATACCTATAAAATGTTAAACTTAAAGAGACACGTTTGAATTCTCGAGTTTGCCTCCTATCAACAAGCTTGAGTTATCACTCAAGTTCGCTCTGAGGTATTTCATTGAACTTACTTCTACTGGTAGTCAGTCATGCACTTTATGCGAGCCATAATTAAGTTACTAAAGTGCAATATGTACACTCACAAGCTTATCCACAGAGAATTCACAGAGCACACAATCAGTTCTAGGGCCTTGGCTTGTGTATGCTCGTCACTTTACTATTTTAATTCATTGTAAAAAAAAATAAAAAAATCTGTAGTCAGTGGAAGATTTCAACAGCCTCTGTTGCAGTTCTTTTTGATTGATTTACTTAATACTAAAAATAGCATCTATGCTAAAGTGTTGAGCTTATTTTTTTGACACCGGTTCAGAGTACTGCGTATTCAGATTTCGGTCTTTCTTAAAAGGTATATTAGTCCAAAATTTCCCATTTTTTATAAAGCAGAAAAACAGTCTCTAAGCACATAAATCACATGTCAAATAATCACAAATAATGAACCAGCCTTTGTTAAAGGGTAATCATATCAGCTGTGATATCCGATAGGTGGCGCAGGAGTCGAGATATTTGAAAATCTCGTATTTATAGTCCTTTTTGGTTGATATTTAGAACGTATATTAACTACATGAAAAGGAATAACTCCACTAAAAATTTTGCCGATAGGTGGCGCATACATTTGGTATTTATGGTCCGATTTCGTTTATATTTAGGAAGCTTGCCTTAAAAATATTTGTTTTTACAATTAACTTATTTGAATGTTATTTAATTTAATTTTTATTTTTGCTTTATTATATTATATTTAATTTAATTTTATTTTATTATTTCTTTTTATTTAATTTTATTTTTTTATATTTATTTTGTTTCATTTTATTTTGTTTTATTTTACTTTACTTTAGTTAATGTTGTTTTATTTAATTTTATTTATTTAAAGTTAGTTTGCTTAATTTATCTCATTTCATACTTTTTGTTAAAGTTTTATTTTTATTTTTTATTCGTTTTTTTTTGTGATTGCATTTTACTTGATTTAATTTAAATATATTTTTTACTTTTTATTTTATTTCATGTTTTGTTATATTTTGTGGAATTTTTCTTAATCTTATTTTATACATATAACTAAATAATGTATATAACTATTATAGTTAACTTGTTTGCTTTTTTTATTTAACTTAGTTTAGTTGAATTTGATCTATGTGATTTTGTTGCATTTTTAGTTTTTTGTATTCTTTAATTTAAATTATTTTACTATATTTCTATAATTTTATAATCTAGTTATATTTTTATTTACTATACTTTTTTTCTTTTCTTTACTTTGATTCAATTTACTTATACTTCACTTTGAATGTATTTTTCTACAATTTATTTAATTCTACTTATTTCACTTTATTTTCTTTAATATCTTTATTCTTTTTTTAATAATTTTCACTTCATTTTATTATATTTTTCTTTGGTTACTTTAATTTGATTTTCTTCTATTTTATTTCGTTTTATTGTTTACATAATGCAGTAAAAATAACATTCCAATAATTTTTTCTTCTAATCTTCTCCGCTTTTAGGTTGCCTGGGTATGGGCATTCGTCATTTTGAAGCCTTCCTCATGTTCCTCGGCCTCTCTGTTGCCTATTCGTTGCGTGTCAACTTATCGGTGGCCATTGTTGCTATGACTGACAAAGAATCCGCCAATCCAGATTTCGAGGTGAGTATTCCATATGTACGTATAAAAGGGTGCTTCAAAAAAAAGTGCGGGTTTTTCGAACAAAATAATACAATTTATGTCTTTTTGGACCTCCGCCAAAACATATCGGAAACAGATTAAGATTTACGTGAGCTATACCAATTTGAAAATACATCAAAAACTCCCATTAGGTATTTTGATTTAGTTGTTAAAGATTTTTATGCAGACCTTTAAGATTCAACTTTTTTATCATCTGAGGTGATTTTGGAAGTATTTTCAAATGAGTCCAGTTCACGTAGAGCTTATTAAATATTTTTCGGAAATATGTTGGCGGAAATCTTAAAAAAAAACAATACATTTTATATTTCCGATAGAATAACTACACCAATTTTTTTCGCATGTAAAGTGATGCACCCTAATGTACACATACCTATTTTACAATGAAATGAACTAAACTCCCTCTATCTAACCTTTGCAGGAGTTCAGCTGGAATGAAAAGACAAAATCCGTTTTACTCAGCAGTTTCTTCTGGGGCTATATCATAACACAGGTGCCGGGTGGAGCTTTAGCGCGCAAATTTGGCGGTAAAACTACGCTGCTCTTTGGCGTTCTTATCTGTTCCATACTGGCTGTACTCACACCCATTTTCGCTAGGATTGGCGATTGGCAGTTAGTATGCGCACTTCGTGTTGCACAGGGTCTCTGTCAGGGCATGGTCTTTCCATCGACGCACACACTACTATCGCAATGGGCTCCCATCGAGGATCGTGGTCACTTTACCACCTATTGTTACTCGGGCGCGCAATTCGGTACGGTAGTTATGATAGCGACAAGCGGTGTGCTCGCTTCCTCATCGATGGGTTGGCCAAGCATCTATTACTTTTCGGGTGGCATTGGCATTGTATGGGCTGTAATTTGGTTCTTTTGGGGTGCCGGTTCCCCAGCGGATTCTAAATTGATTTCCCCCGAAGAAAAGAAATTCATCGAACAATCGATTGGCAACAGCAGCAGCGATGATCATAGTGTGCCGGCCAGTGTGCCATGGTTGAAATTCTTCGCATCGCCCGCGTTTTTGGTACTGATTTTGGTGCACAGCACACATAACTGGGGCTTCTGGACGCTGCTTACCGAAATTCCCACCTACATGAAGAATGTTTTCGGCATGGATATCAAACACAATGCGCTACTTTCGGCTTTACCTTATCTGGCTATGTTCATCATGTGTTTTGTCTTCTCGGCCATCTCATCGGTGCTCGATCGCAACCAATGCATACCACTTTCCATCAGTCGAAAACTTTTCAATTCGATCGGTCATTGGATACCAATGATATCGCTCATTGGCTTGGGTTATGTCAGTGCCGATCAAACCTCACTGGCAATTGGGCTGCTTACGATCACAGTTGGTATCAACGCGTCCACCTACTTGGGCTTCCAGGTCAATCATATTGATCTATCACCTAACTTTGCCGGCGTACTAATGGGCATCACCAATTGCGCGGCAAATATTATGAGTATTATAGCGCCGTTGATTGTTGGCTACATCGTTACCGAAGAGGTGAGTGGCAAAAAGTAAAAAATAAATAAATAAATAAATTTAAAAATTTTGTTTTTTTTTTTCAGGAAAATCCGGAACAATGGCGAATAATTTTCTTCATTGCTAGCGGTTTCTACTTCATCGGTAACTTGATGTTTGTCATATTTGGTCGCACCACAGTGCAGCCATGGAACGATCCGCAACCCCTTCCCTCAACGAAAAAGCGCAATTCCACGCAGCTGGAGTCACAGCATTAGATACGTTGGCGCTACACTAGCGTTTAGTTTTGCTTGATTTTGTTTTATTTTTACTTTTTCATTAGGGCAATTCGTCGAAACACGCAAATGCCTCGTAACCACGTAAACCTCGTAGACTTAACTAATTTTGTATAGAAAACCGGTTTATTTGCGAGTTCTATGCATTTGCGAGGCATTTACGCGTTTAGATGAAAACCCATATTTTAATTTTTTTTTTGTTCATACCGCTGTGGTATATTGTTATTTCCTTGTCTGCATTTGTCTGTGTGTAAATTAAGATATTAAAAAATATCGACTCTATAGCATATACTTCGTAAAGTAGGATTAAATTATCTACTAAAATTATGTATCATAATTTAGAAGTGTGATTGAACCAAGAACTATGCAGCTTAAGCTTAATTTTAAAAGTAAACGAAAGAAAAAACAAAGAAATAAAAAATCTAATAACTGAGTTAGACTTATTATGCTTATTTCGCGAATGTTGAGCGGTAAAAGTGGATAATTTGGAAGAATTAAGACAAATTTACATAATAAAGTGGAACAAAAGTAGAGCGAATTCTTTTTGGGTTTCGCTTAGAAGAATGACTTTCTCATAAATATAGTAAAGCAGCTAGTAAAAACCAATTAATTATGTTTGCTTAACTTATGCCGGATTTCCACTTTCCAATGAATGACACAAATTTTAAGGACAAAGTTGGGCATTAAAAATATTTGTTCCACTAAATACAATAAGAAAAAATTGTCACTTAATTCGGTTTCAAAGGGCATTTGTTAAATGGCAGTCATTTCTCGTCATTTTAATGCCTAGTGAAAATATGGCAATATGAAAGAAGTTGTGAGTTCATTCAGAATAATGTAACTTCTTATTAATTATTTCTTTTTAATACCAAGACCCAAATTATACTATTAACGGGGAAATCCTCCCTAATTTGTGTGGGATTTTCACTCTCCCACGAGGTTAAATATCTCGGTTAAATTCTCGATAGGAAGCTGAACTGGAAGCAGAAACTTATGGAACGATCCAGGAAAGCCATTACCGCCATCTACATCTGTAAACCAGCGGTAGGGAAATGATGGGGTGCGAAACCACACATAATACACTGGTTGTACGTGGAGGTTGTCCGACCCAGCATTTTCTATGGGATTACCGTATAGTGGCCGGCTCTAGAAAAGTCAATCATGGGTGCGCTAACCTCTACTCACGGTAGGGCTCTGGAGACTGTATTAAATCTTCTGCCTGACGACCTTTACGGTAGATATCAGGCCACCTGCATCGAACTAGACTGAATGCAGCTCAGACATGGAGAGAGGCTCATTCACTCTCAAATACTAGACACCATTCCAGCAAACCTACATAAGCTGGATTCCATTAGTCCAAACTTCTGCTTCGAAAAAAGGTGGTATACCAGAATTTCCGACAGAAGGGACTGGGTAAACCACTCGGACTTATGTAGATCCAGTATCTACTGCCATCTTTACGGACGAGTCAAAGCGCGAAAATAAAGTTGGAAGCGGAGTCTACTCGAAAGACCTCTCGCTAAACCTAAGCAGGCGGCTTCCTGCATCGTTTTTCAGGCTGAAGTTCAGGCCTAACAACGGCGCCATTTGTCTACAATCCGTCACTATTTATTCTGATAGCCAAGTAGCGTTTGAATCTTTAGAGTGCAGTAAACCTTCTTAAAATGTGGCTGGAATGAAGAAGTACTTTAAGCGAGCTTGCAGCGAAGGGGCGCAGTGGAATACCGGGAAACTGCGCGGCAGATGAGCTTGCGGGGTGGGAACTGAACTATGCCTAGTAAACTCTGCGCACGATCGGATGTCCCCCTGCCTTCAAGTAAGCACCCACTTCTGTCATACCTGCAGGGACGAGGAGGAGGTGAAGAGTAGAGAGAACACTATCTCTGCAACTGTGCCGCTCAAGCAATTCCAGTGTTTAGCTGATCTCGACTTTGTGGACGTCCCCGACGTTCGACGATATGTTAAGGTTACACGATAGTTCTATCATATGGGAAACTAAGGGAAAGGAACCAGAGCTCGTTTATAGTGGCATCACAATGGGGCAAACTGGCCTAGCGTGCAAACCACCGTAACCTAACCTAACCTAAACTAACTGAGTGATAATAGGTGCGTTGTGCTACTCCGCAGAACACAGGTTCGATATCTGATGCGCGGAAGTTTCTTTTATGGGTTTTGCCCTTCCAAGCTCTGAATGTTATGGTATATTTAGGTTTGGTTTTGATTATAAAAACTCAGAATCGGACAGACTAGGTTGTAGTGGGCATCCAAATCATGGTGAAGATACACTTAGGCCCCTTGTGATACCCTTTTTGCTCCATTTTTCTAGAAGTATAATCAATTAGTTTTATTTATAAAGCATTGAAGATCGCAGATTTTTCGGCGACCTTAAGTCTGCAAGACTATGGAAAAAGTGTTTATGAAAACGTTGCCAGAGTTTCGGCAATCCTAGTAGTTGGTCCCGACAAAGTGCTCGACGCCTTCAATTTCCTCTTCTCGTCAGCTGCTTCAACAGAATTCCTTTATTTGAAAACCTATTCATATTGCGTGTATTCCCATTACTCAGTGACCAGCGATTATTCCAACAGCCATCCTAAGTTGAGGGCGCTTTATAACTTGTCTGTTGTTTGTCATAGATAAAAAGAATGCAAATTTGAATTTTTATCCTTTGAAGATGCAGATTATAATCTAACGTTTTCTTAATATGTTATTGTCGATATTAATGCTTTATTCCTCTGTCCCAATTCACCACCAGGCTCACGCGTTTTGCTTCTCTCTCTAGTCATGATGAGGCAGAATAAATGTAGAGGTTGTTGAGCCTTTAAATCCGATGTTATCAGCGTGCGCCAGTAATTCTACTAGGTGTTTACCTGATCTGAAACCTTATTTGCTGGCAATGGCTAAAGCTGGCTTTTTAATACTATGTCTCCATTGAGAGATGTATCCATTAAGATTTAATAAATCCAGTTGCTAAATCACAACCGTCTCCATTACCACAACGAGATATGTTTGACGTTCACATTTTTAAATATTTGACGTTTGCTTATGTATGATTTTATAAATACAGTTGCGGACATTGATATACAGACAGATAAAAGGAAGGTACCAAGCAGAATTGCATTATATGAATTCTGAATATTATTGGCTTCTTATTCGTGGTAAATATGTATGTATAATATATAGTTTGGAAAGTGTAAAGAATGGTACCATATTCCGAATCATTTTCCCGAATTTAAGAAAAATTATCAAAACGGTAAAAAACATTTGCGGAAAGAAAAATTTTTGTAGAACTCTCTTATTCATAGAAGGGAACCGAAAAGCCAATCGTGGGCCTTTGGCATATCATGAATACGAACTGAGTTCTAGAGGATGTTCGGTGCAATGTTATCGAAGCAGAACCATTACCGAAATTTATAAATTTTTTGTCGCAGCGTGTAAATGACTTATAGAAAGCGGAGAAGACTCTGCATGATATTACTATAAAACATTTCTTCTAAATTTTTAGTTTTAAAAATAATATTTTCTTAATTTATTACAACCAAAGTAATCCAACAAATTGTACTTATTGATCAATATTATTGAAGATTTGACGAAGATTTAAGTTAAATCTACTGCCTTTCGAGATTTAATTTTATATGGTAAATCTCAAAAGATTTAACGTCAAATCTCGTCAGAGGGCTAAATCTTCATTAAATCCCACAATGGAGACATAGGATAAGAGGCAATTTTCTAGGCGGTTCAACATTGCTCAAGAAAAATCGCACGTGTAAATGGCGATTATCGCATTTCTAAAAATTTCCTTCTGTAAAGGCAGCTTAAGAGATATCCTTTTCAGGTCTGACGGAGCTAGAGTTTCTGTCCGGAACTAGAGTTTCAACTCAACGGTCTGTATAACCCGGAAGGAAGCAATATTTTTTCATAATTCAGGCGTGACCCAGCAATACCGATTCCCATTACCGTGTTCCTCTTAACCGAAGTGCAGCAAGAGATGCCATCTGATGAGTTATAAACTGTTTAGTCATCTGAGTAAAAATATTAAAAAACAACTGTTTTTATTAATAAAAAACTCAATTTTAGGAGGTATTTTCAAATCCGTCCACCTAACGTAAATCTTAGTATTTTTGCGTGATATTTTGGTGGAAATCTTAAAAATATAATAGATTTTATAATTCCAGTGAAAAATAGTACCGATGTTTTTTTTTTTTTTTATATGGGGTGTGATGCAGTCTTCTATACATAAGTTGACTATGATTACTCGGCCGTGCTATCATAGTAGCACAATGCCATTAAGCGCATTTTAAAATTTTCAGGCAATAGCCTCATGGGATTATCTATTCTATTTTTTGTTGTTTGTGTGAAATATTTTATTTTTATCGGTATTTTTCTTTTAATCAAAATATATTGAAATAAAGATTAAAAAAAAAATTTGCCAGATTTTGCATATACATACATACATAAAACTGGAGAACAAAATATGCAGACAAACACCTAATTCGTCACACAATACAGTACATATATTGATATTTTAAAATTAAATGAAAACTTTTAAATTTATAAATCAAATTATTAAGTAAACGTGCACAATTTACCCTACAATTGTGACTTAATTTTCCAAACCATTTTTCGACATATCAAAGTTTCAGTTCTCTTTATTAGATTAATCCAAATGTCAAATTTCCGAAATAAAGGCAATCGTAAAAAAACAACAAATTTTGGTGAAAAATTAAATAAATTAAAAAATTGTACATGTGTACGTTGTGCAATCAGCTCGAATTTCTGATCCTGCTTACTTTTTACACTCGAACACCATTTCTTGTAGCCCAATGTGTACGAAAATATCTTAAACAAAAAATATTGGCCTCTCATTATTTAGCGTTTGTTCATTCTCCTTTGCAGTTAAACATTTCGGTGTTCGACATTTGCAAACCCTTTTGCTTTTCGGCACAATGTCCGTTGTGTACGCGTTACGTGTTAATCTATCGGTGGCGATCGTCGTGATGACCGACAAGCATTCAAATCCGGATTTTGAAGTGATGCAACAGCTTTGCTTTCAATTTGCCTTTAATGTGAAAATATCGTGTACCATTTCTCTTCCGCACTATAGGAGTACGCTTGGAGTGAATATATCAAAGGACTCTTGCTGAGTTCCTTCTTCATCGGCTACGTCATTTCTCAAATACCTTCTGGCTATCTATCGCGTAAATGTGGCGGCAAATTACTTCTACTCATCTGTCTCGTCAGTTGCTCACTTTTGGCCATACTGACACCATTGTGTGCCGCTATTGGAAGTTGGCAGCTGATGCTGGCCTCTCGCATTCTCCAAGGCGTCTTTCAGGGCAGCGTATTCCCTGCAGTGCATACGATACTTTCGAAATGGTCACCAGTCGATGAGCGCGATTTAATGAGTTCGTGTGCCTATTCGGGTTGTCAATTCGGTACATTTGTTATGCTGGCCAGCAGCGGTGCGCTAGCTGCTTCACAGCTCGGTTGGCCGAGCATTTTCTACATATCGGGCAGTGTTGGTCTGCTGTGGGCTGCCGTTTTCAAATGCTTTGGCTGTAGTTCAC